AAGGGCACTCCTGAAGTAATTCTCTCTCATCAAGGTTTGCTGGTACAGTTATTTTCTGTAAATACTTAATATGGATCTGTTACATGCCTGCCAGGCTGTTTGTTTCTCTTTCCCCTCCCCCTATTTTTTGTTCTCTTCACAGGTAGTAGGGGAAGCCGGTGTCAATCTCCCCTGATTGAGCCTCTCCAACCAAGGGCCACTTAGCATCCAGGGAGGCCTTATACAAGCAGCTCAGCTGGGGAGCTTAGGAGATCTATCCAACCTGCTGGCTACCTGACACATGTCTTGTTGTTGCTCTTTGTGTGAGGGTTTGTGGTGGGAGTTAGAGGGCGAGGTAAGTTTGGGGTACCCTGTACATGTCATCACATAGGTGTTTTTCTGTTAGATACACTAGGTAAGTAGGTGGGTGCCACCCATGTAAAGTTTTGGTGGAAACTTTTGTTAGATTAGGTAGGTAGGGTTTTTGTTTTCTATTTCTTTTCTTTAGCACAGATGGTAGTTGGGTCCTGTTTTTATTTTCTTTGATTTGGCACCACCTAACCGTCCCTTTCTCCCCCACAGTTTGTACGAGCCTTCTGGGATTTTTGTTGCCAATAAATCCCTCCTTTTTAAAACATTCACTTGGACCCTGTCGAATCTTTGTGGTTGTCGCGTTACTTCCCTCCTCCTCACAAAGAGGGTGCCGTAACAGCATCTTAGTGGTACTTACTCTTTTTATCCGATTGTCCAGATGAAATCCCACTTTCTGCAAGCAGAGAGAGAAATGTTGAAAGAAACACCATTTGTGTCAGTTTCCCCTTTTCTTTTATTAACTATTATTAAATTGCAACAATGGTTAGAATGTTCCCCTAGAGCAGAGGTTCCCAAAGTGTGTGTGGGGGTGGGGGGCGCCGTGCCATTGCAGGGGGGGCGCAGGAAGCCGTCTGGATGAAAAAAATAAAAAAATAAAAAAAAAAAAATTCACACTGTATGCGCTGGGTTTTTACCTTAGAATGGCCAACTCTCTGTTATTCCTATGTCAATCTGATACAGTAGAGGCTTCCACACTTCCCATATTTGTGTCCTCTGTCACTTTTATCAGCAGTTAAAACTGTTTAATCCGTTGTTAACATGTGGTAACCTGTTTTCCGAGCCGCCTTTAAACGCAACATCAGTGTTACGACGCTTATGCTGGGTTTACACCTGTGCGGCAGTGAAGGAGACCTGCTGCTGCTGTACAGAGCTACGCAGGTGTGTTAGAATCATGGCAGCAAAATGCAAAGAACTTTTCACAGTTTTTCCCCCAAACTAACCGACTGTTGAGTAAAGCTGCTGGATGCAGGTAATGTTAGCTAAAAGAGGACTAGCTAATATCAATACAGCACCTTAAGCTTGTTAACAAGTAGCTTGTAGGCTACCGATGTTGTTTATGTTCAGCTACGTACATTTTGCCCCCAAAAAAGTCGACCTCTTCGCCCCCCCAACCTGTTCTTAGAGACAGGGAGTTTCTAAGAATCCCCCCCTCACACGCATCGTTTCAACCAGACAGCCATTTGTAATCCATAGGGGAGGCCCAGAAAATTTTTGGGAACCACTGTGGGGGCGCAGAAGAAAAAGTTTGGGAACGACTGCCCTAGAGTTTGATAGGCTTACGCTATAATGTTTGACTACAAACTTTATATTTTATATATTTTTGATTTGGTCTTTCATTTAGATAAAGTCATAGTGAGACATAGGGTAGAATCTCAGAAAACAGGTAATGTTATTGAATTATTCAACCTTGGCTGCTGTTGTCTCCCTCTCCTCCAGCGTTTCCTGTAAAGAAATAGTTTGTAATGATTTAAGACTACAACATAGGTAGGACAAATAATATTAATGAACTTTATTGAATTATTCAACCTTGGATGCTGTTGTCTCCCTCTCCTCCAGCGTTTCCTGTATAGAAATAGTTTGTAATGATTGATAACTACAACATAGGACAAATAATATTAATGAACTTTAAAATAGCCTGTTCAACAAAAAGGGTTTTTTTTTTTTAAAGGTAATCTTCAAAGGAAAACCTAGATCAAAAGCTTCATGAAAATTATATCAATTAATGTGACAATTTTACTTTTGTAGGTTTTACAAATTGTGATTTTAGAAAAACTGCCCAGAGTTTAGTTTATTTGACCAGAATTGGAAGCAAGTTGATTTGAAATGGACACGTTATATTTCACCTTCAATATAAACTCAAATTATGCTCAGAATTGATGCTATACAAGTAAAATGAAATGAAATATACTAAAGGGAATAAATTTACCTTCAGTTTCACTCATGAGGGGTATGATAGTGCTGTGATCGCCTGTACCTGCAGACAGATGTACCAAGGTATATGAAGATCAAATTGAGTTAAAATATTTTTAAACACTTCTGTTCTTCATTTTAATTCACCCAGCATTGTCTACCCTCAATCGTCCTTTTAGAAATGCAGGGGAATGGTTCCTATCTCCAACGGTCATTGGGTGAGAGGTGGGGTTCACCCTCAACACCCCACCAATCCATCACAGGGAAACACAGAGACACACAGGACAAACAACCATGCACACTAACATTTAAAGGCAGTTTACAGTGACCAGTTAAGCAAACGTGTGTCTATCGACTCAGAGACAGCTGGAGTACACAGAGAATCCACACATGAATGGGGAGAACCTGCAAACTCCAGAAAGGGCCCAGGCTGGGATTCGAACCCAGGACCTCACTGCTACTATGCAACAGTGAAAATACTGCGCAATAAATTCATTACAGCTGAAATTTATTTTTAGAATAAAAGTCTAAAAAATTATCAGGATATTCAATGGTACAAATTATCATTGAATTAAACAATACAAAATGACACTTACCATTGCTATGGGTCATGTGACCATTGGAGCCTGCACAAACAGAGACACAGGTTTATTAACAAGATTGAACTGCTTCACAAACTTGTATATTTTTATTAAATAATCATAAACTAGCAGTATGAGCATAAAGTAGCATTGGTACCCAACTAAAGTAAACATGTTAGCTACATAATGTATTGCTTTGCACTCCAAGAAATTTCTAATTTCAATGTACTGGTGAGTTGACATTTATTTAATGTCTATGGTTTACTTAACAGTTGTAACAGTGAATTTATATCTCTACACAAATTAGAAAGAGGATTGGATTGGTTGAGTATATGATGTCAATATGATGTTGAACATAAATGTCTCGGGAAAACTTTCCCATTGTTACAACTCACACAGACACTACGCCATTACATTTACAGGTATGGTAACTAAACTTCTTTTAATATATTATTTTTCCCCAGTTCAGCATGCCACTCTAAGATGGGATTCAGTTGAATTTTGAGTGATTTCAAATCAAAGCTAGTTATAATAGACTATAACTTTGATTCATATTGACATTTTGGCTTCTAAAGTCTGATTTAGACTTTCACATTATTCACACAAATTACGCAATTATAAATGGATGCAGAAAAATGTATTTGGACATTTGTATAAAGATACTTACAACTGACTTGGATTACATTGACACCATTGTACCCTGTACAATAACAGAAATTAGCAGAAATAAAGAGTGAATTATTACAATTTCTTTTTTAAATAACATACTTTAAAAATATTTTTGCTAGGTAATAACGCATCGCTAAAAATAACTAAAATGTAGCCTATAAATTTCAATGCACTGTTCACATTTTCTTGACTTATGCTTAATTTACATCTTAGGTACACTGGTACTTAATGACATTTCTTTAGAGTATTTAAATGTATTTGTCCTCTTAGATGACATTTCTGACACATCCTTGTATCTTCTGTACTAGGTGTGAAATGACTAGCCAGATTATAAAGGGGGCTGTGATTGGTTGTATAAATAACATCGGTATCACGTTTAGAATAAATGTCAAGGGCCCACATACACTAGACCACAAGAGGTCCCAAGATCCTGCTTGTATTAGGCGTTTCCCTTCTGCTGCACACCCGATTTAAATAAATAGGTGATTAACAGGCTTCTACAGCAGTTAGAGCCATGCCAAGGGGATAGTGCAATAATTTGAGTCAGTACAATAATAAAAGACACAAAGATACCTGTTTTGCAGAATATTTTTTGTCTCAAGTCTTTCTCCACTGGTTTTCCATAATATGCCTACATGTCATATAAAAGAACTAAGCCAATTAACAACATAAAGAAAAACAAACACCTACCATTGTTTTGGGATTTGGTGGCATCACTGTTGCCTGCACAAACAGAGATACATACCTTTAAGGTATAATGACTAAACTTATTTTATACATATTTTTCTAAGATTTTAATGCCAATGCAAAGAGTATTTTTATAAACTCCACTATATAGATATACTTACGAAGTGGGCATCTCATCTTTTTGTACCAAAACAGAAAAACAAGAACTCCGCCAACAACAAACAGCAGCATAGATACTGCGACCACTATGATGATGTCGTAAGGAAGTTGTTTATCTTCGTTGCAATTGTGATCTATAACAGAAAATTATTTTCTATTATTTTTATATTGAATTCACAATAAACACTGGTGTGATACATGTAAAAAAATAGCTGGAACAACTTGACAAAGAACACTTAAGTGGTTGAATTCTTACTTAAGTAAGTAAGTAAGAATTCAACATCAAATAATTACATTAAGAATGATTTGGATATCTAAGGCTATATTTTGACAGTTACAAGTGGCTTTGATGCTGCAAACCAAATTTGACCAGACATACTCAAATATAATGATTAAAAGAAAAAACTAAGTTAACCAATTTTATAAATAAGATAAAGAAAGCTACCAGGCCTAATTTATACAAGACTCTCCTTGGACTGCCACCTTATTGTGGTAACCCAAGGATAAGATGTGCTGCCACCTTATCCTTGGGTTAATTTATTTTGAAAATTCATTTGTTTAATGGATTTTTTAAAATCTTTTTATCACAAAAATGGGCAACAAATCTACATCTATATTGTCACCAGTATGTTGCAGACTTTAGTGATAATGTCAAAATTAACAGTAAAGTTAAAAAGTCTGAAGAATGTCAAAGGATAAAGTATGTTAAAGATTCTTCCAAAACAAATCTGACAACTGAGATTTAGGTGACTAGCAATTCTTTCTTAATCATTAAGTTCTTCAGCATATAAATGACATTTAACAGAAACACTCTTTTCAATTTGGATACTGTGCAATTACAATAATACATTTGCAGTATATTGTGTAGTCGTAATTATAAAAAAATAATAATTGAAAAATAAACTTAAAAAAATTATAATTTACCCCATTTCTTTTCAACCTTCATGTGAGAGGCAGGATGAATGACTTCACAGGTGTAGGCGGCAGCATCAGACTTCAAAATCTCCACATGGTCTTTTCTCTGAAAGGTGTCATCCTCATTTGGGAGAACTCCAGAGGTCTGAATCCCGTCCTCTTTAGTTAAGATACGCCCATTTCTTTTGATCTGCAGAATGATGTCTTTTGGATAGAAGCCCGTAGCCAGGCACGTCAAAATTGTGTTAGTATCCGCCTTGGCTTTACGAGTGAACAAATGCACTTCAGGTCTCTCTGGAGAGAAAAGTTCAAATGTCCGTTGTTAAGCACGTAATATTGGACTAATGTAAACACTTATTTTTTATAATAGTGTCCTGTCATTCATGAGATCATTTGAATATTAAAATATGTTTATTCATAAGCACACATCACATGTGATAATTTGTATGTACTAGTTTAAAATGATAGTTTCATTATTTTTTTTTTTTATAATTTTAAGGCCATTAACACACAAATGGCCTCATTAATTGTAAACTGCATAACGCCAACTACTACAACCTTTTATAGTAAATACTATTGTGTTTTTTGATTGATTTTGTTAAATAAGTTATTTTTTAGTTAATCTAAACAAAGCATATTGTTGGCACTGAGCATTTGAAAAAAGAATGCTAAGAATAACTTATTTTTGCAAGAAGCAAAAAAGAAAAACTACCTAACATCATACATACTGGCATTTAAAAGCTGCTCTTCCCCAAAGCCTCTAAACTTGGTCATCCATTCCATGCACTCCTTCTCCAGGTAGCCCTTGGTGTATTCCTTCAGCACCTGGACCTCATCCCACTTCCTCTTGGTTTCTTCTGCTGCATGAATTGGAGCAACCCAAACCTGCTTGTTGTCATCAAAGGACAGAAAGTCGCTTCCGTCATAGTTGTACATGTCCATCCCACGGACAAACTTCAGTGAGCCATCAGGCTGAGTTTCACCCTCACAGCCGTGCATCCACTGAAGAATATGAGTGTCTGTAAGAAAACACAGGAGAAAAAAAAAGTTAAAAACTACGGAATAGAAAAAAAATATTTGTTGGGTTTTTAGACAAGTAAATATTCTGAGAATAAATAGGATGTATTTATCTACCGTTGTTATTCTGTCTCATTCGTTTCATCAATATGTCGATGTTGACCTTGAACCATTGCTGCTTGCTCTTTCTGGACTGGGTGCCTTTCTCCCAGTACTCTGGTTCAAGATGTTTTTCCATCCAGTCCTCTTTGGGAACTTTAACTTGGTTCTCACTGTCATAGTAGTCAATCATCCGGTTATCCAGTAAACCCATAGCAGTGAACTCATGTAACCCTGGGAGATTCACTGGCTTGGAGAAGGCTGTGTAGATGTAAGTGAGGGAATGCTTTTCTGTAAGACAAAAGACAGAAAAATAAATTGTTAAAATCCTCAAATTAGTGTGTGTATATATATATATATATATATATATATATATATATATATATATCTTGGTCAAAGTCACTTAGGACTTGGCATGGGCCAATTACTGGTATCAAAGCTGTCAAATATTTATGGCACACCATAACTGAGTTGTAAACTAGATAAAGTGCAAAAGTGACTGGGGTTTAAGAAGCCTTTTACAGTTTTCCCTCAAATGACAGAAAAAATTCAATCATGTGGAAATATTACCAGCTTTGGTGTTAAAACTTAAAGTACCAAGCATAATACAAGTTCCCCCTCTCAAAGACCAGGTTACTTTAACCTTGTAAAGAATACTACACACTGAAACTAGAAGGTGTTTTACATATCCAAAATAAATAAATAAACTAAAAACAATAAATAAGACAGAAATAAAAAAACAACATACAACTGAAACCATAAATAAAATGGATTATGATGTCGCTCTAAACAAAATTTCCTTTCATAAAATATTAATAATCAGAATTGGAATTACTGAGTTCATTTTAATTGATCGGAAAACTGATGGATTAATTAATTAATCATTTATGGCAACAGGCTTAGTAGCAAACGCATCTATGAAAAAAAGTATTCATTATAACATGAAATGCTAGTTTTCTCTTTACTTTGTTTCAGCTTTCGTCTGTTTCCAATGAGGAAGTTCTACAGTCACACCTCATGTCAGTTATCTAAGCAATGTTGTTTGTCTACATGTTGACTTTCGATGTTAATCTATTAAATACAGAACGTCATTTAGTTAGGTTAAAATAATTTTAACAGTGTATCACTAAAGTATTTAATTAGTAAAATCCCTTTTGTTGTGTGTTGAAGTAGATAAGGTGCTATCAGTTACTTAATTTGCGCTAGTGCTATAATTACACAACTGGCTGCACAACCCCCTCAAAACAGCATTTTTCTATTATTGTTTGATGTCTTCTTGTTCCAAAGCAGAATATTCAGGATTTTGAACCATTACAAACCGATGGGTAGATATTTATTTTCACCACTGATCATAGTGGCTCCTTGTTCAGAGACTCACACTTTTCGTCTTTTTGGATAATAGCTTCCCACTGATTTCAATGTGAATTGAAGAACATAAATTGCCCCCAGACTTATGGTTTTATTCACATTCTACATATTACATTAAAATGTATTCAAGGTTCTTTAAATGCACTTGCAGATTAAATTGTTTTGGCATATTTATAACTTGAAAGTAGCTAACATACCCCAGTGACGCATACGTGTTTTCTAACCTTGTGTCTTCCGCATACTTCAAATTGATCTTTGAACACTTGATTTACTGGTTATAAATGACCTCAGTGTGAAAACAGTAGTGCTGAACCAGACAAAAAAAATACCTGAGATATGTTGGGAAGAGCTTATAAAAGGACAGGACGGCGAACGCAGCGGCTTTGTGTGCTGATGAATATGCGCCAGACTTACCGCGACAAAATTCACCTTAAAAGTTCTGGTGTCGGTTTATTTTAAACTGGGTCCACACAGAACAATTGGATTTTACTTAATATTAGCAAACGGGTCTAGTTGTTCGGTAAATAACACAAATTTATCGACAGAATACTTTTTTTTTTTTACGACGTCATATCTGTTTTTAGTTTCACTTTTAACAACCGCGTCAACATGTCAGAAAAAAACAAGGATATTACCGCTGTACACCGTGACTGCTGTCCCCAAAAGGACAACAAACGGTAGAAGAAGCATTCCGAACCAGAATCAGGTTAAGTTCTTCAGCTGAAATGTATTTCTTTTGGATTTTTTTGTTATTTCTTTTGCCCGGGATGCCTCGTTGTACTCAGCTTCGAAAGGCTTTCTTCCTCTGTTGAGATGCTTTTAGGGTTCCTCGGACTTTAGACATTTTAGTTTTTACTTCCAATCGTGGTGCAATTGATTGCAAAAAATAAAATAAAAGTAGTCAAATGCCTTATTTTCAAAACAAGCAAAAAATAAAAAATAAAAAAATTAATAAATAAAAGAGAGCGAGAAAGACAGGGGGAAAAAAGCCATATAGTTAAATAAAGCTTATGTTCTGTTGGTCTTCCTAAACTTAACTGAAGTCTTTCAGAGATTTCCTGAAGTCCATGACCATTTTAAGATAAGCTGCTTTTGTTTTGCTTGTTAAAACTTTTGAAGATCCTTAGAAAGTCTAATCAAATACGTAGACTATTTTGGAATATTAAAATAATTTAATTAATGAGTTATTTGTTTTTAATGTTTTTGTAATGTTATATTTGGAATAATCTGGAAGAAACAGACATCAGATTTCACTCTACTTCATTTTCTTTTTATTGCTGTGTTTACTCTTTGTAGTGCAGTCTTAAGGGTGCAGTGATTTCTCAGCCGCACACTCAAACCTTTGTTTTTAATCTCTGTGATGTGTTTATTTTACCAACGTTACACCTTCCATTTTCTTAAATATAATTCAATATTAAAAAATTTAAACAAAATTTGAAATGGTATTTGTTTCCTTTTCAGAATTATTTTCTTTGTGTGCCGGTTTCGATTAAATTTATCTTCATCATAAACCTCCTATCCATCAGTCGGTGCCAGTTCATGAAATTTTCTTAAATATAAATTTTTGAAATAAACAATATTGTAAGGAACAAACACTACAAAGTTGAATCTGGACTTTTTAATTGTTTTTAATGTAGTGCATTAACATTTTAATGGGTGAAAATATTTTAGGAAACAGATTTGATAGTTTGTTTTTATGACTTCTTCACAGTTTTTTGCTCTTTCCGAAATGAATGTCTGTTGAGCTATGCTGTAATCATGGTTTCTCCATGCTTTCTGTGATTGAATGTTGGTTATTCTATAATAGCCCGTGTGCGACAAGCAGACTTCTAAATTTACAAGGATCCGTGAACGCGACATATACTCTTCCGGATTTCTTGTATGTCATCAGGCTTGTTTTTTTTTTCAGGTGAGGCACTTCCTCTTTTGTTCAAACGTTTTGTGGAGTTTCAAATTAATTTTGAATGACAACGAAGTTGACAATGCAAATAAACCATCGTGTTTTTACTTTTTATTATATGCAGAATTAAATACCTGCACTTCGTGCAGAGTAATGTGCGGTAGCTTTTGTTTTGTTCCTTTAATTGTAAAGTATTAAAATTTCGAGTCTGTAGGTATGAGCTGCTTTTGTTCAGGATCTCTCTCTACTCTCATCGGTTTTTAGGGCTGGCAGTGACTAGTTAAGGCACAGTAAACACACCTAAACCCATAAACCGACCTGCGTCAGCCTCAGTGTCTGGCTTCATGTTCAGCCAATCAGATAAATCGTAGTCAGTTGCTAGGCAGATAACAGTATTATGGGTTTGGCTGAAAGACTGAAAGCAAGTAGTAACGACGGTTTTGGAAATGTAAAACCGAAAAGCAAATAAGATATTGCGGTAACGGACAAAGGCAAATTTATTTCTATTTATTTACTCATCCATTCATTGCCTTTTTAACACTCTTTAGCCGAATTACTGGAATCTTCTAATGTTTAATATATCTGTTGGATATATGTCCTCTTTATTGAAGCAGACTAAAAGTCAAAATATTGCTTTTTTACGATATAATATTATCATGTATGCACATAAAAAATGTCCTCTTCACTCATGGAAAAATGCTGCAGAAGTGGCCATGAGAACAACAGGGAAATAGAAGAAGTTGGTGAATGATTTCAAAATTATATTCTTAAATGCAGGAAAGACAGTTGCAATATTTTTTCAGATAATTGTAATGAATGTCACCCTGTTCCATTTGTATGACGTAACATTTGATCATTTTCGGCATTAAGCCCATTTTTATTCTTAACCAAATCTCATTATTTCTCAAAGTAATGGCTCTGAGGAGTTTAATGGTCAGTTCTTCAAAATGGTAAATGGTTACTTTACAAAATTCTTAATGATATTGCTGATCCAAGAAGTCTGGGAAGGTTTGTCACACAGAGATCTAAAATGATTAGTCAGTAGGGCGCCATCAAGAGGTGAGTGCAGCGTCCTAAAGTTTAGCATGCTGCACTCGTCTTAAATTGGTTCATCCAAGCAGATTTACACTTACTAATGATGGTAGTGAGAAAAGCAGTAGTTTAACTGGTTTTAATGAGATGTGAATCATGATGCATATGTATAGAATGGAACAATATGTAGTTATTTTTATTCTTGTTTAACATCAGTTCACAACCTTTGTTAAATTGTACTTGTACTACAGGTGGAAATTAGCCATTTTTGCTTTGACCTGGTACCATTCATATTTCATTTGAAAGGGTCGATGAACTGCTGTTCATTCTCCCTGTGTAAAATAAAAAAGGTCAAAGGCTTGAGAGACAGATAAAACTGATGGAAGTTAACTTAACAGTTTGTTTTCATTTGTGCAATTTCATGAAGAGTTAATATGAATTTTAAGGCATGTAAATTATGTAATGTTAAAAGTTTATTTATTAAACAAAAATCTCCATTATTGCCTCGTTTCTTACAACTAGGCAGTAATGCACAGAACAGCTTCCTGCAGCTTCTCACTGTGTAAATGCATTAGATGCTACTGGCTGCTTTCTGTTGACAATAAAGTAAAGATAAAAAAAGAAATCATGTTTAACCCCACACTTCAGTTATGAAACCTCTCTTCCTGCTTTCTCTTGTCCTCCTCTGTTTTCCAACTCCTTCAATTACCACTCCATCCTTCCTTCTCTTTTCCAGTCGTCTCTTCCTCCCAAAGCGGAAACCAAATCCTCCTTTCTCTCGGCTGACGGCTTGAAGCCCTCCGGCCATGGATGTAAGAGCGTCGTTTCTTTTCCAGCCTTCTTCGCCTTCTCCTCCCTCCTGATAGTTCACGGCCTCGAGAGAGTTATCAGCAGCGAATGGGGAGAGTGGCAGATCCATAACGTCCCCTCTCTGGTCTCTCAGCAGCTGCTCTTCCTCCCAGACACCACCCACTTCCTCGGGCTCTACAAGAGTTTGCAGAGAGTCTTGAAGCCAGTCAGACCACATTTTAGGGACTTTGGGGTCCTGCAGTGGAGCACTGAGGTCATACAGGCTGGACTCCAGCTCTTGTCTGGGATAGAAAGCAGCAGATGATGGGGGATGCGTGGAAACTGTGTGTAGGATTGGGCAGAGGAGGTTGAGGAAGAGGAGGGTTACCTGTGAGGCACTGATATGGAAAGGCAGTCTCATCTGGACAAAAAGAGCAGCAATGATCATGTTACAGGGAGTTTAAAATCCTTTATTAGATTTCGTTTGCTTTAAACATATTCAATTATGATAAGATATTTAAGGCATTCATAAGATGTAAAAAATAGAAAGCATGCGATCAGATTGTAGAAAACTTAAAACAAAATTTGGATTATTTTTTATTCCTTAATTAATTTTGAGTTGGATAGAAATAAAAGCTGTATGTAGCCAGTGTTGAAGGTTTTCAACCATCATTAATATGAATTTATAGTTGTTACTATAAGCAAAATTATCAGGTAAAACAATGTCTCTCTCTAAATATTAAAGTAAGAAATGCAAGTTTTAGATACTTTTCTGACTTTCATGGAAATACATTGAATTTCCACAACAGAATGACACTAAAAGTATCTGTAACATATTTTTTTACATAAACGTTTTTGCCAATAGGTTGGAAACAGTTTTTCTGCCACTATTTACATTCCATACAAGAAAATGTATCTTTCTCTTTGTAAAAAGTTCTTTATTTTAAAACCTAATAGTAAAACCACAATTGTGATTATTCAAAAATGGCATTTCTTGTACTTGATATTTATCAAAAGTTATAAATTGTATTTTTTCAAAAGGTCAGGTAGCATTTGTGGCTGATAAATTTTATTTTGCTTAACTGAGTAAAAATGTTTAAAGGTTGCAGATGCTGGTCTAAATGTAAACATTAATTTCAGTCAGTCTTTCAATTTAAAACTGACATGTACACTTTTGAAATAACAAAACACTTCACATAAAACTATAAATATCACTGTTATTCTCTATGAAATATAAAGCGCTAATAAAAGTTTGACTTGGTTTAAATAGTTCATCAAACAGACTTAAGTTTTTACTGTTTATTCCAGAAGATACTCTTAACTTAGTAGAAACCAATTATTTTTTATCTTAATTTGAGGTTTTGTCATTTAAACTCTCATGCCTTCTGGCTGTACGTCGTAGCTTCTCTGGACATACACATTTTCTATTAATACAAAAAACTAAAATAATTTCCAAAACATACAAGAAGCTCTCCTCATATCAGATATTTCTTACCTTGTTTCCTGTCAGGCACCTTGTGTCTTCTGTAACATTTGTTGCTTCGGACCTTTTTAAAAACCGCCAACTTGTGTCCTCCGTTCTGCCATCACACATTGGTTGCTCCGCCCTCTGACGCACTAACATTTTCACAAAATACCTTAAACTTCATTCTTATTAGCTCAGCAACATTTGCCTGTGTTAGCACTGAGGCCAATTATGACTGCTTGTTTGGCAACAGGTGAAATGGATGCAAAAGATTAATTAAGATGTTTCTGATTAGAGAGAGTCTCCGGGATTTCTTTTATGGCTGTGCTTGTAATTAGCATTGTTTCGATAGGATAGCACAAACATACCTGAAAAATGTCATAGTAATCCCGTGACAAATCCAAACCGCAAACCAAATGAGGCCTTTGCTTGAATGAAAATAACATCAATTATGTTCCAAAATATTTGCGGACCCACAAGCCTAATTTAACTGTGAATCAGGTGGTAGCTTCAAGACTGATTGTAAAAAAAAGGCCTTTTTTAAAATCTAAAACCACATTGTTACAGAGGAAATGTTTCTGTGGTACCAGGAAGTTGAGCATGTAATTGAAATATACAAATCACAAACAGGGTTGGATGTAGCCAAGCTGCTAATAAAGGCACTGAGTTTTGTGCCAAACATATTTCACAGAGTCATTATTTATGAAACAAAAACAAAACCAGAATGAAAATGTGTCTGAAAAGCTGCGTACACCCAATAATTCAGGAGCTTGTTTTACCATCATTAGCACAGAGGAACTTGAAGCAGCTGTTTTCTAAACACATTTTTGCCTCTCCATTTTTTTAGCTGCAGCTTCAATGCTTGAATGACCCAATCTCGGCCCACTCTTTGACATTTGGCATATCACATAGTTTCTGACTCTGGAATAAGATCACTGACTCAATGATTGTAAGGGTCATGCAAGTGACTCCAAAGCAGGACTAAATTACCCCCCCTTCTTTTGATTCACTATTTGAATCAAACTACTGAAATAAATTTAGTCTTTTGATTGTTTTCAAAATGATTGAGTTGTTCTGAAAGAAAAAAAAAACTGTCAGGGACATTCATGTTCCTTCAGATTGCATGTTGCTGCATTTTATGACCAAATAATCTTACAAAGAGCAAAGTTTCTGCATGAAAAGGCATTTTACTGAATCACCTCCATGTGGTGATTCAGTGAAGAGAAGGACACCCAACTTTACTGAAGAAAATGTAATGAAACAGCAGTTTATTCACACAGTTAACTAAACTAAACTAATATCTAGCAATCACAAAGCAATCAAAACCATTTTTAAGCTGAACCACTTCTTAAATGTCAACTCCACTTTGTCTTCTTGTACCTAGAACCTTATTAAGGCTGAGGTTGTTTCTCTAGCTGTTTTTAGGACTGGAACAAAAACTGTCACTGCAGAACCATCAGTTAACTGTAATTTGGTCCAAAAGTCTCAGCATCAATTTCTCTCTCCACTCTTCCTTCTTCCTCCTCAAACTCGCGAAGGGGCTCGAGAGAAGGGATGCAGCCAAATGCACTCTGGGGATCGTAGTCCAGAAAAATGTTGGGGCTTTGCAACATCTGGCATGACTGATTGAGGATTGGGCTTACAGAGGATTCAACGGCTGAACCAGTGAGCAAGGACAGCTGCAGCTGGTCGATGGTGCTGGCGGGGAAAGGCTGCGATTGGTCTAGCGAAGAGCAGGAAAGTGATGAGGGGGTGGTTGCCTGGGCAACAGCTCCAGGGGGAGCAGAGGGGGAGTTGGCCTGGGAGTCTTCAGAGTTGAGGGAACGTCTCAGCTTGGCCCGAGCGTTCTGAAACCACACCTGAGGGAATATTATGGAAGGAAGGAAAGCGTACGGAGGATGATAACAGAGACTGAAAACAGCTGCGAAACAGGTTAAAAAAAGAGATCATTGGAAAATCCAAACATCTATTGAATGTGAATTTTGAATCACGCTAGAAGAAGACCTTTCTTCTTTCATTCATTATTGGAAGATTGTTCGAGCTTTTATGGAGCTATATCCATTTACCTCTTTAAAAACCTGTCTGATCACCTGCCACAAACACAAACTCCAGATTTAACTATACTTTTCTCGTACTTTCCTAAATGCTCACTTCAAATTATTATTAAATGTCTGTGACCTTTACTGCACCATAAGTATGGGAAATGCATTATTTTCACGTAATATTAGGTGGAGGACTGAGTGATGCATACCTGCAGGACTCTCTTAGGCAGGCCAGTCTTATGAGCGAGGCAAGTCCAATCTTTGCCGTCAGGGTTGTGCTTCTGGGCAAAGTATGACTCAAGTGCTCTGAGCTGCTCACTGCGGAAACATGTCCTGATTCGCTTAGTCCGTCTCCGCGTCCGCCCTCCCACCTCTCTGTCGTCCACTCGTGGTTCTGGACTGCTGACAGACTCCTCCCCTTCACCGGACACCTGGTTTTGACCCGACTCTGACATCAGACAATGATCATAGTGATGGTGTTAGTTAGATATCCTCCTTAGACACAAAGTCAATGAGCTGAAAAAGCTAAACGCCACGTTTCTGACTTGATATTTTCAGGTTCAGCTCAAGTCAGATAAAAGCTCCAATCAATGCAGAGAAATGTATTATTTTATAAACCTCTAACTCCAGTTAAATCTACTTTTGTTCTTCTTGCTTCACAATCGCCCAAGAGATGTCGACATGGAAGGGAGAGTTAAAGTTGTTACACCTGAAATACTGCATATAGAGATATGATAAAAAAAATCAAACACATAGTTGTAGCACAAATTAAACTTGCAAGTGTAACCACCAGATGATCCTGTAGTCTTTGTCTAATCTCTAAAATATAGTTTTTTTGCAGAATTTTATTTATTTATTTTATTTACTTGTTGTTTTTTTAGGGACAGTATTGCATCATGTGACATGTTTAGATTGCTGTAAATGTGCCAGATTTAGCCAATCATATAATTTACACACCATTGCATGCTGAGGATAAAACTCAACTTCATTTGTATTTGAAGCACTATTTGCATTTGGAAAGCCAGAGACTGAGCAGTAACTCAGAGCTCAGTCAGATGTTGTTGGGAATAGGGGAAAATATGGAAAAATATTTTGTGCATGTGCTCATGGCATTTGGGCTGAGTTTTACATTATGCCCCTTTGAGCCTGTTATCCAGCTGCATGTTGTAGCTACATCATCTCACTGGACTGGCTTATATTGCAAAGCCTCAAAAGAAGAATTATTTTAGGTATTTTTCATAAGTAATGGTTACATGAAGCTGAACATGGATAGTGACCTCACCAGTACCACACCTATAGGTACCTCATGATAGGCTAGTAATGCAATAATTGTTAATTCTGGCAACTTAGTGATGAAATTTATCATTGTTTGTGTTTTAATTTTCAAAGTTTTAACCATAACTGAACAACAAAAATGACTCTCAACACAATGTTGTTTTGTGCCCTCTACTGGAGATATTTGCAAAATTAGACATGGCACCCGATGAATTATTGAGACTTGTTTACGACACTACTCCTTTATCTTGAAGCATGAAGGATAAAGTGATGTTTAGTCATTCTTGCTGCCTTGAAGTACTTGGGTTCTGGTCAGAAGACAACTAGATGAATCAACTTTATTTGCCCTGCAGAGGCGAATAAAGGTGGAGTTTTGGAACTAGCTAACACACAACTGTAAAACTGTACCTAAATTTCAGGAAAAGGTTTCAAAGCGATTTTAACGTTTATCATCCCGTCATTTTTGAAAACACTCACAAACACACTGACCTTCTTTTAGATGTGATTGTGAGGGGTCTTGCAGTGGCAGATTGCCTCCATCACCATTATAATGTGACTCACAATACAGGTTTGGGCCCTGCATGCAGTAGAGGTTCCCTGGCATTAATTTTACATCACATTCCTGCAAAATACAAATGTAAAAGGCATGCATTCATTTGTTAATTTGTAATTAAACTAGTAGCTAGTCTGTTAACTAACCTGGCAGGAAAAACAGTGGGGATGGAAGGTCAGCTCACCAGACCTCATGACCAAATCAGTGGGTGGGATTGGCTGGAGGCAGCGAGCACATTGGCCGCCTCCAAAAGTTCTGATGAGAGAAGGAAACCAGATGTCAGAAGCTGAAGTCCCCTGTTAACTCAATGCAGATGTTAGGAAGTGAACTGGTTCAGCATGCAGAATCACTTATACCTGCTGTAGTCCTGCTGGCAGTAAATGTTTCCATCTCTCCAGAAGAGGGAAGGGTGAGTCTGTAGCTCACAGTGGCACTGGCTGCAGCGGAGGCAGATGCTGTGCCATACCCTCCCTGCAGCCAATAGGAAGAAGCGATCACATACCTGCTCGCCACATCCAGCACATACGATTGGCTCTGGAAGGGACACACTTATTGGAACCTGAAAGATGTTTGACATGATCAAAATTAAAGATAAAGAGGGGAACTAAACATTAGGTTTATGGCACAGAGGGCATCCAATCTCAAAAATTTGGAGCTCATCAGCAAAAATAATTCCTTAAAAACAAATAGTACCAAATTGTAAAATATAATTCAATTTATTATTGAGAATGCTATGCATACCTTTAAAAAAAATTACAAAAAAACACTTTTTTTTTCAAATTAAGACTGCTTCAGACATTGCTTTTTATTTATTTTTTAAAGATACCTGTCTAATTATATGTTAGAATCGAACTACTTGCTAAATACAACAAATCTGAGTTTGCAATGGGATTTTTACAGAAGATTACGAAAAAAAATGGACTTTGTCAGAATTGTGAGATTAAAATTAAGATTTTTTTTTTTCATTTTTATTTTATTTTGTGAATTTGAATAATGTTTACATAGTAAGTGCCTAAGTTAAACTAAAAAGTTAGCATTTAACTTTGATTAGTTTTCAGGATGACTTGCATGTGTTTGCTAAAATAAAAATTTTATGTTTTAGACTCAAAAACTTAAAGTATAAATTAGTAATTTATAGAATGACATCAATCTTGTGAGATCTGCTTGTTAGCATGAAGCTCATGTTGCCTGTCAGGAGGTCAAGAAAAACATGATTCTTTTCTAAAACATGTTAAGACACAATATCACATAAGACGTAAAAATATTTAAAGCATAAAATACTTATGCTTTAAATGTAAGTTAATGTTATTGATCTGCCCAGCTGTGCAGAAACTAACCTTGAGGTTTTTCTGCTGTCAACCATCTGAAATCTGTTAAAGCTTCATAAAAATTCAATGATTTTGAGAATCATAATTACATTTTCTGAAGCAGTGTTCTCCTCCACTGCTGCTGGGCCACCGGCCAGCTGTACCACCTCCGGCTTGTCACCGAGGTCGCTGCCATACAAAAGGTCCTCGAGGGCTTGGTCGTCTGGAGACATCATGATTAAGAATTCTGAGAAAGCAGGGGGTAATTAGCAGTGTTCTCTGTAACCACAGGTCTATGTTTCTATTGATAAGCACACAACGATTTCCGGCTGTTTTAAATGTCATATTTCACAAATCTATTTGATGAGCAAAGAGAAAAACAGCTAAAATGTTTAGGTGAAGTAGCTGTTTTTATGTGAACTAAACAGCATGTTATCAACAAACTGAAACAATACTTGAGGGATGTATAGATAGAACAGAGAACTTACCTGTTCTGTTTATTGATTTGATTATTATTTGGTTCCTGCTGAGTGTGTCCAGTTCTAATCATGAAAAACTTCTCTCCAAGGAATAACAAAAGGTGTTAGATCCAGCTTTCCGTTTCCAAGCTTCACCTTTTATCTTGAAAACATTCCTGCTTTATAAAAAAACAAATCTCATCCCTTTCCTTTCAACTGCAAACCACAGTGCTTCCCCTGTTGCAGGTGTCCTTGTAGCCTCCTGTTTTGTGGTTTTGGGATGAACCCACCTCACCTGAGGTCTGCATCTTCACCTTAGCGTTGTCCAACCTCTTTCCCAGCATCCGATCTGTCGGCAGTCCCAGGTGACAAGCACCTGTAAACAAGAAGCCCAGCTGGCTCAGAGGACAACAAGGAAGCACTGTGATTGGCTGCCTGGTGAGCAGGTGAAAGGGTGGGGTAGAGGGCTTTACACAAGGGGCCAATTAAAAAAACAAAAGGTGCTTAAGAGGAGATCTGGGAAATGTGCTGAAAGATGAAAAGACACTTTTACACTCGTCTTTGACATCCAGCTCTTCTCTTCCTTTGGTGTTTTTGTTTGAGAAAATTAAACTCATTGTGTCAACAGTGAGAGGATGACCAATAGAAATATAATAAAACACACATGTGTGACTTCCCCAAGAATGCAACACTAAGAGAAACAAACTGTCTTTTGTGCTTCCAAATTCTTTCTTGCATGACTGGCAAGTCACCAGTAGACTGACTTCATGAAAGATCTGGACTGCCCCAGGCAGAGTCCAGAACTAAATCTAACAGAAAATCTGCAGCATCATCCAAAGAGGGATGTGGACAAGAGATTTACTCACAGACTGATATGGTTAGAGAATCTTTCTGAGGTAGAGTGAGCAAATATTGTCAAGTTGAAGTGTACAACACTGATTGACTCAAAGATGGGATGTTTAAATCGCTGGCGATCCATTACTTTGTGGGTGTTAATATCTATAAAATCAGGTTATTGCAGTTTTTGTCCAGGTTCCAGGGTTCTTACTGCTGTTCTGTTCTGTGGGATGTTTCAGGACAGTCTTTAACCTAAATGTCCTGGTTCACGATGTGCTCTGCAACAACATTTTCAGAAGCTGATCAACAACATCGGACATCCTCCAACATATCCAACAGGTACTATAAATGAATTCTTCATTTTCTGTTGGACTCACCTGAAGTGTTTCTTTCATAAGTAAAGACCAACCAAGAAATAAATATTTATTTATAAAAAAAACAAAAACAATAAAAATTGAAACACATTTTAGGTCCAAATTCCAACGTTTCAAACTCAAATAATTTTATTGTTGTATTTTCTTACAAGGCACCACAGGTAGAACAAACATAAAACATTGATTTGTTTACAAAAAGACAAAGTAAAACAGAAAAGACAAACACAGTGAGGACAGTGATGCACCTGTCATGGCAGCTGAACCACAGCAGGTGCTTTTCTCTTCTTTCTCTGTACACACCGAGAAGCCCAGCTGAAGTGGAAAACTGAACAGTAGGGGGCACTGCTGAGCTTTAAAGCAGGGATGATCAGAGGATAAAAGTTACAGAGGAGAATAAGGAGATGCAATCAGAACCTGTTTCTGGCTTGATATCCAATTTGAAAAAAGAAAAAATATATTTTCAGATTGGCTTTCAACAAGAAAAGATACATACATTTATATTTTCAGTACCGTCAGAAGCAGAAGCACAAAAAAAAAACAAAAAAAAAAAACATGCACAGACATACTGAACTCTGAGCAACCAGTAAGTTTATTTACAGAAGACGGAGAGGAAGCCAAAGAACATAAACTAGCTTAAAATGCTGCAAACAAAACAGTATATGAACAGAACTGTCAACACAGAACTGCAGCCATTTGAAATAACACACAATATTCCACTCATTATCAGCTTTCCACTTCATATTTCTACATCAAATACCAATTATGCTAATAAGTTCAATAATGCTCCTGATTCCAGCTTAGTTTATTTGTAATGTCTTACATTCCTATTTTAGCTAGGCTATTTACTGTAAGGTCTTCAGACCTGCAGCAGCATGCAAACCATTAAATTTGCTCTAAGTGGATTCTTTTTGTTGGATTTGCCTGTGACCTTTCCATTTTTTACTCACTTTTTACTGCATTCATTTTACACATTTATCAGAATTTCTGTGCAGCCAGACAGTCCATGATATAATTTCTAGTTTTTGTATTATATAAAGCTTATAATACTCAATTGACTGTTACATACACTGGAAAAAGTACAAAAAACGTAAAATTTTGAAGGATATGCCAAGTTATACATGAGAAAGCCTTTCAAAAATATTTCGACCGATAATCTTCTGACATTGTAGTAGAATCCAATTAGATTTTTTTTTTATTGAATTGTGGAAACATGTTTAATGTTGCTCAAGAAGTTTCTTTACTTTGACAATAAAGAGAGCATTCTATTCTAAAAGCTGCTGAGAGATAACCATACTGCATTGTTTGTATTGACGAAGTCCTTAAACTTCATAAAGTCAGACTCATCTGGTTTTTGTGTGTGACTGTAAGGGTTTAATGAGAAGCATCTTTATATTTTTAAGCATATAAGCACCTTTTCTAGCTATCAGTTTCATCAATTAAAGATTTTTTACATCCTTTTATGTTATGGAATTCATTGAACTTTCTGTTTCTTTTTATTTTCTTGTTTTTGATTAAGATGGAAAGTTTAGAAACTGCACAGCCAAGCCGTTTGTAGTTTTTAGTGTTTGGAAATATTTTACCTGGGTCAGCTTTAGATCGTATCAATTAAAAACACTAAATTTGGGTTTTGCATTTCTGAAACCTTTAGCTTTTTGAGGTCACAAATGGCTGCTTATTAAGATACCAGCTAATAACTTTGATCAACTGTTTCTGAAAAGATAAAAACTTCACAATATACAGTTACACACTGACAACTTGCTTTGTACACATGAAAAAATAGCTCTATTTCCAAAAGAGAGCAAGGCATTTGTTAAAACATGTGTGTACATATGTTGACACTGTTTCTTTACCAGTTCACCATCCTCTTTCTCACTTTGTTCTGCTGGCTGGAGGCCTGAAGGATGCTGGTCTCATCTTCATCTCTGTAAACTGGATGGAATGGTATTCTCCTTTCCATGACTTCCAGATCAGGCCCTAAGACACAAACAGAGAAATAGTCACATGCTGCCCTACAATCCTACCTTTCCTATTTAATTGTTTACATTTCATATTGTATGCAAAATGGTTCAAAGAATTAATCTTCCATGTAAAAAAGGGAAAACTTGTCTGTAGCTATAGCTGCACAAATAAGTCTCCAGAATGTAACATGCAAAAGTACAGTATGCTCATCTAACATACAGTGCTTTTGTTTTAGCATGTAGTACCAGACATCCGTTCATGTAGAGTTGAATTAATGGGAAGTCTTGTTTAGATTTTAACCTGTGAATTCACATTTGATGTGACATCCTATAAATATTCCAGTCCCGTTTACAGAGTTATCCATATTCTATTTATTGTACAATTTGTCTGATCTTGCTACCTGATGTTTGTAGTCAATTCCATAACGGCCATTCAGATTTGCTTCATGGCAGTTTTTGTACCACCAGCCAGCTTGATAAGAAATGGCACAGCGGGTGAGCCACGGTGCCGGATCCCGGTCTTTGGTGGAGAAGACGCAGTTGTTGTGGTAACTAAGGGAGTCACCTGAAACCAGGGAACATGAGAAATTGAATAGGTTTCCTTTCATGCAGATCATTCAGTCAGGTTTTGGGAGCCAGTACGCCCAGGAAAGCTTTTGAATTTCCATCTCACCTGCAGTGCCGCTGTATCCACCCACACTCAGTTTGTAGTTCCTGTTGGACACCTCAAATGTTGAATACTTGGCGAACACCTGCTCACTTCCGTCTCGTAGGTCGACCCGTAGATTCATCTTCGTCATCTTGGTCAAGTTGTGAATTTTTTCAAGGCCTAAAAGAATGAAATTTGGCTTGCTTGAGACATTCAAGATTTTTTCAAACAATGCATTTCATTAAGCGAAAAATAAAAATTACATTTACATCACAATGCGGTGATGCAAAGACTGACACAGACAATGGTTGAACATTTCTGAACATAGATCTAATTAAGAGAAGCCATATAAAATATGGAGACATTTTTCCCTTGAATAAAACATGCATAATTATGAGGAGCACGAAGGGTAAAATGTTTAAATATTTTAAATCTAACTGCAGCTGAATCTTCATGGTTGAATCACAGCAAAAAAGTCATAGGCAGATACCACTATTCACCATCATGATACAAATTATACGTCTTTTAATTGATTCAGTTACTAACAAAATTGGAATTGAAAAAAAGTAGCTTTTTGCATCAAATATAAATGTTATTAATCAAAGCTCCTATTTAATTGATTTCTAATTGCATTCTACCACAAATATTTAAAAAATTGTGTACATTTGTCACTGAAAAGTGATCTCCAGCTTGAGTTAAAGAAAAATTATTACCGTAGATTACAGATAGTTTTTAGGATTGTCTGTAATAAGCCGTCATGCATTCTGACCTAATAAACATTTCATTACTGTGAAGAGTTTCTCTCACCAAGCCAGAACTCTCCACTCAGATTTCCAAAGCCAGAAACGTAATCCTTCCAACCATTGTAGAATTCCACCGAGCCGTCCTTCCTCCTCTGGAAGACCTGGACATGGATCGGAAACACAAAGAAGGGGAAACTAAACATAACAGAATGTAAGGACATCTTCCCGATTGACAAGTTTACAGTTCTGACTGTACCGTCCAACCGCCGCCGTCCGTCTCCATGTCGCAGGAAACGTTCATCGACTTGCCAAGTTTCCCCTGAGGGAAGATCTCCACCACGTCTGAAGTGACGACACCGTTCAACAGTTCCTGAGAGCAGTCAGCTGGGAATGGGAACTTCAGTGTGCCTTCAGAGAAAGAAAAAGGGGGCTCTGTAATGACACAAACTCTTTATCAGTTAATAATCAGGACTCTTAAAATAACCGGAGGTACCAGTAGTGAATTCAGTGTTGCTGCCGGCTACCAGTTGTCCTCCCCTTATAGGCCGTAGCTCCACAGTGTACAGAGACCCTGGATGCAGTCTGGTCAGCTTGTACTGTGTTAGATCTGAGCCTACAATTATTTCCTGTCAGAATGTAAAAAGTCAAGAGTTATGAGCAAAAGGATGAACAGGCCCGTCGTAAAGAAGAAACTGTGAAATTATATTTTTAAAGCTACAAATTCAAACTCCAGGCCAAGTTTGACATTTTGTACAAAACTGAGATAGAAGGGTATGCCATATAACAACATAGTAAAGTACACTAAATCTCAGTCTACAGAAATTAAAATATAACAAAATAAAACACAAAAAGGCACTTGTACACTGTTAGTTTTCATACCTGCGGGCTTTCACCTTTGATCCTATAAACCAGTATGTATTTATCCACAGGCTTTGACAAAGGTATCCATGACACAACAGCACTCCGAGGGGTCACACTGTTGACCTTTAGATCTTGAGGTTCATTTTGATCTCGCCCTGAGCCTGCAGAGCCCGAGTAATTTTCATTGTCATGATTGATTATTGTCTTCTAAATGAAGTATTTTATAATTAAGAAAATAGCATATAAGCTCTGGCTTAGAAACATATGTTGTGCATGTGTCTGCATGGTGTGACTGGCTACTGACCGCTTTTGGTGGTAAAGCTGGTTGTAGCTGGTGAACTCTCCAGGTTGCCCAGCTGACTTCTTACAGTGACAGTGTAGGTGGTGGATCCTTCAAGGCCGCTCAGCTGCTGCTCAGCTGCATTTCCTGAAATTGTAACCCTCACTTCTGACCCTGCACAGGGAAAAAGCACAACCGTACTAGTTTAAAGCATGAATTTTATTTAAAAAACAATAAATAAATACATCAAAACTGTCAAAAAAAAAAGCCATTTGCAACCATGCCTCTCTTCACAAAAGAAAGTTTGTGCCACCTGTGGATGTCAACATGAAATCTGCATTCTCATTCTCTGATGGACTACAGTTGTTTTTGAGAAATTTTAGCCTGCTTTTAAGTACTTTTAATGTTTGAGTTACTAATCAGGCTTGAGTGTATCTGATGAATTTGAACTCAGCTTTCCAGAACATACAGCCAACAACTTTCAACTCATGACTTTGTAATGGGGTCAAAGTCATAAAATCATTAGTTGAAAAGCAGATGAAATTATGATCAATGTCTTTTAAAACAAAAAATGAATGCAAGAGAACTTGAAACTCAAGCTACAGTTGCCAAATAAGGAAGAAAACATAAAAATGTTTCAGCCTGACACCAGCAGGACTTACCTGTACCTGAGCCATATACAATGGTGTACTTATCAACAGTGGCAAGAGCTGGACGCCACAGTAACAATGCTGAGGAGTCAGTCACATTGACTGCTTGTAGGTCAGTGGGTGGGTCAGGCACTGAGAGTGACAAAAGTGGAAATAATAGCAGAATTATAAACAAGAAAATGCAGTATTTTCCTAAAGATACAAACTTCCACACAGAGGACACAGTCTGGATTTAATCGATCACACCAGCTGTTAGAAAGCATTAAACTAGCCCAGCAGAAAACTGAAATGGATCCAGAATGAAACTCGTAAGAGTACCGACTCGTGCAGACAGTTTTACACGGTCCATTTATTATCAAAAATGTTAAATTGGAACACATGTTGCGACAACATTAATGAAACCATCATGTCCCACAGATCATCATTTCAATGTTCTTATATATTTGAAATGAATTATTGCCATCCCCTTTTTTTTAAC